TTTCCGTTTCCCTTCAGGAGCTGAAGAAGTACGGGGTGACCACGTTGGTGCGAGTTTGTGACGCCACCTACGATCAGGCCCCGATCGAGAAGGAGGGGATCCAGGTTCTGGTGAGTCCCAAAAATGGGGATTGTGGGGTCTGGGGATTGGGGGGAGTCCTGGGGGGTTTTGGGGTCAACCCAAAGTGAGGCGGGAGAGGGTGGAGATGGGGAAAATCGCGGGGTTTTTGTGGGGTTTTCGGAAATTTTGTGTTGGTTCCTGTGCTCGGGGAGGAATCTCAGCCTGAAAGCCCAAAATCCCATCCCAAAATCCCAGAATCCCATCCCAAAATCACATCTGGAAATCCCATCCCAAAATCCCCAAATCCCATCCCAAAATCCCCAAATCCCATCCCAAAATCACATCTGGAAATCCCATCCCAAAATCCCCAAATCCCATGCTGAAATCCCAGAATCCATCCCAAAGTCGCATCTGTCCCTGCCCCCCCATGGAGGAATCCATCCCAGAATCCCATCCCGAAATCCCAAAATCACATCCTGAAATCCCAAAATCACATCCTGAAATCCCAAAATCCCATCCCAAAACCACATCTGTCCCTGCCCCCCATGGAGGAATCCATCCCAAAATCCCATCCCAGAATCCCGTCCCAAAATTTCATCCCAAAATCCCATCCTGAAGTCTCAAAATCCCATCCCAAAATCCCATCGATTCCCTGCCACCAGGGAAGAATCCCATCCCAGAATCCCATTCCAAAATCCCATCCCGAAATCCCAAAATCCCATCCTGAAATCCCATTGATCCCTGCCGCCAGGGAGGAATCCATCCCGGAATCCCATCCCAAAATCACATCCCAAAATCAGATCCCAAAATCCCAGAATCCCATCCCAAAATCCCATCAATGCCTGCCCCCAGGGAGGAAGCCCACCCTGAAATCCCAAAATCCCATCCCAAAATCCCAAAATCCCATCCTGAAATCCCATTGATCCCTGCCACCAGGGAGGAATCCATCCCGGAATCCCGTCCCAGAATCACATCCCAAAATCAGATCCCAAAATCCCAGAATCCAATCCCAAAATCCCATTCCAAAATCCCATCGATCCCTGCCACCAGGGAGGAATCCCATCCCAAAATCCCATCCTAAAATTCCATCCCCAAAAACCCATCCTCAAGTCCCGTCCCAAAATCCCATCCCAAAATCCCAAAATCCCATCCCAAAATCTCAAAATCCCATCCTGAAATCCCATTGATCCCTGCCGCCAGGGAGGAATCCATCCCGGAATCCCGTCCCAAAATCACATCCCAAAATCAGATCCCAAAATCCCAGAATCCAATCCCAAAATCCCATCCCAAAATCCCATCAATCCCCGCCCCCATGGAGGAATCAATCCCAGAATCCCATCCCAAAATTTCATCCCAAAATCCCATTCTGAAATCCCAAAATCCCATCCCGAAATCCCATCTGGAAATCCCATCCCAAAATTCCATCCCAAAATCACATCTGTCCCTGTCCCCAGGGAGGAATCCATCCCAGAATCCCATCCCAGAATCCTGTCCCAAAATTTCATCCCAAAATCTCAAAATCCCATCTCGAAATCCCATCGATCCCTGCCGCCAGGGAGGAATCCCACCCCAAAATCCCAACATCCCATCCCAGAATTTCATTGATCCCTGTCCCTAGGGAGGAATCCCATCCCAAAATCCCATCCTAAAATTCCATCCCCAAAAACCCATCCTCAAGTCCTGTCCCAAAATCCCATCCCAAAATCCCATTGATCCCTGCCCCCAGCCCAGAATCCCACCCCAAAATTGCATCCCAAAATTCCATCCCCGAATCCCAAAATCCCATCCATTTCTGTCCCCAAGGAGGAATCCCGTCCCAAAATCCCATCCCAAAATCCCATCCCGAAATCCCATCAATGTCTGCACCCAGGGAGGAAGCCCATCCTGAAATCGCATCCCAAAATCCCAGAATTCCAAAATCCCCAAATCCCATCTCTCCCTGGGCCCAGGGGGGAATCGCATCCCAAAATCCCATCCGAAATCCCAAAATCCCAAAATCCCATCCCAAAATCCCATCGATAACTGCCCCCAGGGAGGAATCGTATCCCAAAATCCCGAAATCCCATCAGTCCCTGTGTCCAGGGAGGAATCCCATCCCAAAATCACAAAATCCCATCATTCACAGAATTTTTTTGAAGATTGCTGATTCCATGGCATTTTTATGAAAATTGTGGATTTCATTTTTTTGAGAATTGTGGATTTCGTGGGATTTTTTTGAGAATCGTGGATTCCATTTCTTTGAGAATTGTGGCTTTCACAACATTTCTTTGAAAATTGTGGATTTCATGGCGTTTTTTTGAGAATTGTGGGTTTCATTTTTTTGAGAATTGTGGATTTCACGGCATTTTTTTGAAAATTGTGGATTCCATTTCTTTGAAAATTGTGGCTTTCATGGCTTTTTTTTTTAAATTGTGGATCTCACTACATTTTTTTGAAAATTGTGGATTTGACAACATTTCTTTGAAAATTGTGGATTTTATTTCTTTGAAAATTGTGGATTTCACAGCGTTTTTTTTAAAATTGTGGATTTCACGGTATTTTTTGAGAATTATGGATTCCACGTGATTTTATTTTTCCCTTTCCCAGGACTGGCCGTTCGATGACGGAGCTCCGCCGCCCGGGCAGATCGTGGAGGATTGGCTGAACCTCCTGAGAACCAAATTCCGGGAGGAGCCCGGCTGCTGCGTGGCCGTGCACTGCGTGGCTGGACTGGGCAGGTCCGTGTGTGTTCTGATTTACAATCTGTTCAAATTCTGGTTTGGAATTCCCTTTGGATTCTGTTCCAATTCCCTGGAAATTCCCTGGAAATCGCGTTGAAATCGCGTTGAAATCGTGTTGAAATCACACTGGAATTCCCTTTCAATTCCATTGAGATTCCAGTGAGATTCCATTTCAATTGCATTGAAATTGCCTTGAAATTCCATTTCAATTCCATTTCCATTTCTATGCCATTTCCATTCCATTTTAATTCCATTTCGATTCCGTTTCCATTCCATTTCCATTCCATTTCCATTCCGTTTCAATTCCATTTCTATGCCATTTCCATTCCATTTCAATTCTGTTTCAATTCAGTTTCAATCCCATTGAAATTCTGTTTTGATTCTGTTTCAATTCCATTTCAATTCCTTTTGAGTTCCATTTCAGTTCCGTTTCAATTCCAGTTCATTTCAATTCCATTTCCATTCATTTCAATTCAGTTTACATTCCATTTCAATTCAGTTTCAATCCCATTGAAATTCTGTTTTGATTCTGTTTCACAATTCCTTTTGAGTTCCATTTCAATTCCGTTTCAATTCCATTTTGGTTCCATTTTGATTCCATTTCAGTTCCGTTTCATTTCCATTTCAGTTCCATTTCAATTCCATTTCCATTTCAACTCCATTTTGGTTCCATTTCAGTTCTGTTTCAATTCCATTTCGGTTCCATTTCAATTCAGTTTCAATTCAGTTTCAATTCAGTTTCCATTCCATTGAAATTCTGTTTCGATTCCCTTTCAGTTCCATTTCAATTCCCTTTCAATTCAGTTTCAATTCCATTTCAATTCCACTGAAATTGTGTTGAAATTCCATTTCAGTTCCTTTTCAATTGCATTTTGGTTCCATTTCTGTTCTGTTTCAATTCCTTTTCAGTTCCATTTCAATTCAATTTCAGTTCAGTTTCAATTCAGTTTCAATTCAGTTTCCATTCCATTGAAATTCCGTTTCGATTCCCTTTCAATTCCCTTTCAATTCAGTTTCAATTCCACTGAAATTGTGTTGAAATTCCATTTCAGTTCCATTTCAATTCCATTTCAATTTCATTTCGATTCCATTTCAATTTCACTGAAATTCCATGGAAATTCCCTTTCAGTTCCAGTTCAATTCACTTTCAATTCCATTTCAATTCTGTTTCAATTCCATGGAAATTAATTCCATTGAAATGATATCTATTTATATATTAAAAACTACTCTATATATCGATATAAATTATCTTTATATATACATATTTTTATATTTGTATATTATACACATTTATATCTATTTCTATATTTATATATAGAAATTTGTGTTATATATATATATATAAATATTAAAATATTTTGTGTATATATATATATATAAAATAACTAAATTAAAATACTAAATTATTATCTCACACCCCAAAACTAAACAACTCCTCTCAATTTTTATTTTCCTTGGGGAAGCACAAAATTCATTTTCCGTTGGGGAAATCCCTTCCTGTCTGTAACATTTTTTTTTTTTTTTTAAATCAACTTTTTCATTTAATTAAAACGAATTAAAACGAATTAAAATGAACCCTTCTTTAATTAAATGAATCAAATTAATTTTTTTTGTGCAGGGCTCCGGTGCTGGTGGCTCTGGCTCTCATCGAGTGCGGGATGAAATACGAGGACGCCGTTCAGTTCATCAGGCAGTGAGTGAAAAAAAATCCCCATTTTCCAAAAATTTCCATTATTTAATCCATTAAAAAATAAAAATTTGGGGTTTTTTTAGGAGTTTCAACCCAAAATTTAGCATTTATTTCCCATAAATCTGAGTTTTTTACCCTTCCCTCCTTTCCGAGGGGAGGATTTAAAGGGGATTTCTCTTTTTATTCTTAAAATTTGGGGTTAAAAGTTAAAAAATGCTGAAATATTTTGAATTTTGAACGATAAAATGATTTAGGTTGAGACTAAAAAACTCCATTAAAAATAATGTAAAAGTCCCTTTAAAAAATCCCTAAGAAATCATTTAAAATCCCTAAAAAATCATGAAAAATAATGTAAAAATCCCTAAAAAAATCATTTTAAAATTTTAAAACCATCAAAATTCAGTAAAAAAATCACCAAAAAATCACTAAAAAATCACCAAAAAATCACTAAAAAATCACCCAAAAATCACTAAAAAATCATCAAAAAATGACCAAAAAAAATTAAAAAATCACCAAAAGAACAAATTTGCCTGAAATGGGTAAATCATT